GCTCCTCGCCGGCCCGGATGGGCCTGGTGGCGAACAGGGCGATGCGGGGCAGGCGCTGGTCCAGGTTCTCGATGAACACGTTGTACACCTGCAGGTTGGGGTCACACTGCCCCGCCCGGCAGGTGAGCCACACCTGGCAGGTGAGCCCCGCCCCCCCAGGTGAGCCCCACCCACAGCTCCTGACCCACCCCAACAGGTGAGCCACACCTGGCAGGTAAACCCCACCCCCCCAGGTGAGCCCCACCCACACCTGGGGGAAAAGGTGCTGAAAGCTCCACCCACAAGGCAGGTAAGGCCACACCTCTGCACAGGTAAAGGCCCAGCTGTGAGCAGGTATAGCCTCACCTGTGGGCAGGTAAACCCACACCTGTGTCCAAGTAAACCACACCTGAGCCCAGGTAAACCACATCTGTGTTCTGGTAAACCACACCTGAGCCCAGGTAAACCACATCTGTGTCCAAGTAAACCACACCTGAGCCCAGGTAATCCCACCCCTGAGCCCAGGTAAACCCACACCCGTATCCAGGTAAGCCCCACCTGAGCCCGGGTAAGCCCACCTGAGCCCAGGTAAACCCCACCTGAGCACAGGTAAACCCACACCCATGTCCAGGTAAGCCCCACCTGAGCCCAGGTAAACCCACACCTGAGCCCAGGTAAGCCCACCTGAGCCCAGGTAAGCCCACCTGAGCCCAGGTAAGCCGCACTCACGCTGTGGTTGACGAAGTGCGAGATGTTGCCGTAGTGGGCGGCGTCCACGGTGTACACGTCCTCCACGTAGTCCAGGTCGAACAGGTACGTGGCGCCCTGGCGGTCGTACACCTGTCCCCGGCGCTCCGCCTCCTCCGAGGTGATGATCTGGGACAGGGACACACCTGTCACACACCTGGGCACACCTGAACCACCCCACACACCTGGGCACACCTGCACCGTGTCACACCTGGGCACACCTGAACCACCCCACACAGCTGTACTGCCTCACACCTGCACCACGTCACACCTGGGGCACACCCGAACCGTGTCACACCTGCACCATACCTGTCATACACCTGTCCCACACCTGTATCACACCTGTCACACACACCTGCGGCACTCACCTCGCCCACGTACTCCATGACGAAGGAGTTCTTGCGGATGCGCTGCAGCGTGCGCACGCCCTGTCACACACCTGTCACACACACCTGTGCTGTGTCATACCTGTCACACCTGTGCTGTGTCACACACACCTGTACTGTCACACACACCTGTGCTGTGTCACACCTGTCACACACCCCTGTACTGTCACACACACCTGTCCCACACCTGCGGCACTCACCTCGCCCACGTACTCCATGACGAAGGAGTTCTTGCGGATGCGCTGCAGCGTGTGCATGCCCCAGCCCTGTCACACACCTGTCACACACACCTGTACTGTCACACCTGTCAGACACACCTGTGCTGTCACACACACACCTGTGCTATCACACACCTGTCACACACACCTGTACTGTGTCACACCTGTCAGACACACCTGTACTGTCACACACACCTGTGCTGTGTCACACCTGTCACACACACACCTGTACTGTCACACACACCTGTATCACACACACCTGTGCTGTCACACACACCTGT